TGAATTTCTGCAACAATTTGTAATTGTCTACATAGATGACATCTTAATCTTCTCCAAGAACCTGACCGAGCACCATCACCACGTTCGTCAAGTCCTGCAAAAACTCAGAGATCATCAACTCTTCCTAAAGCTGGAGAAATGTGAATTCCATCGCACCACCGTCCACTTCCTTGGCTCTATCATCAGCCCACTGGGAATCCAAATGGACCAGAGGAAGGTGGACACCATCAAGAACTTGCCTCAGCCCTCCACCACTAAAGACCTTCAACGATTTCTCGGGTTTGCAAACTTTTACCACCGTTTCATCCATCGATACAGCTTCATCAGCTCTTCGCTTACCTCTCTCCTCAAGGGCCGGCCCAAATCTCTACCATGGAATCCAGCTGCTACTCAAGCCTTCCAACAACTCAAGAAGGCCTTCTGTTCCGCTCCCATCCTGGTCCATCCCAATCCAGATCTTCCTTTCGTGGTCGAAGTGGACGCCTCGTCAACCGGGGTGGGAGCCGTTCTATCCCAACATCAGGGAGATCCTCCGGCACTCCATCCATGTGCCTTCTTTTCGAAAAAACTGTCCCCGGCTGAGCTAAATTATGACATTGGAAACCGAGAACTGCTGGCCATCAAGTTGGCTTTTAAAGAATGGAGACATTGGCTGGAGGGAGCACACCATCAAGTCGAGGTCATCACGGATCATCGTAACCTCGAGTTTCTTCGTGAAGCCAAACGTCTGAATACTCGCCAAGCCCGATGGGCCCTTTTTTTCACCCGTTTCAACTTCCGTGTGACCTATCGCCCTGGAGATAAGAATCTGAAAGCCAACGCACTCTCCCGTCTTCATGCACCAGAACCCACCGTGTCTCCTCCTGAGCCTATTCTCCCTCCTGCCATAGTTGTCAGTCCCATCGAATGGACCCTTGACGATCGCATCCGAGAGGCCACTCGCTCCGAACCAGCTCCTCCGGGAGGTATATATGAATATATGTTCCGTCTTCACTACGTCTATCCCTTATGGACTCTGTTCACACCTCCCCGGGCTCTGGACATCCTGGTCACCACTGAACCCTCTCACTCCTTAGTAACCGGTTCTGGTGGCCCACCATCGCACAGGATGTCTCCCGCTACGTTCGGGGATGTTCGATTTGTGCCGCCACCAATACCCCACGTCGGCTCACTGAAGGAAAGCTCAAACCTCTTCCTATTCCTCATCGACCATGGTCCCATCTGGGAATAGATTTCATGACCGATCTCCCTCCTTCCGACTCTCATACCTGCATCTTAGTAGTGGTAGACCGCTTCTCTAAAGCCTGCAAGCTTATCCCTTTGAAAGGTCTACCCACTGCCTTCGAAACCGCCAACAACCTGTTTGAAAACGTTTTCCGCCATTTTGGTCTACCAGAAGATATAGTATCTGACAGAGGTCCTCAATTTATCTCCCGCGTTTGGCATGCTTTCTTTAGACTACTCGGCGTTTCGGTCAGCCTGTCCTCAGGCTACCATCCTCAATCCAACGGCCAAACTGAACGTAACAGGAAATAGGGAGATATCTGCGAACTTACTGTCACCAGAACCAAAATAGCTGGAGCCACTACCTCCCATGGGCTGAGTATGCCCAGAATTCCCTACGCCAGGACACCACCGGTGTAACACCATTTCAGTGCATTCTTGGATACCAACCCCCTCTGTTCCCATGGTCAGGAGAGCCGTCTGAGCTCCCAGCAGTCAACACCTGGTTTGAAGCGAGTGAGAGGGTATGGGACTCTGCACACGTCCATCTGCAGAGAGCTGTACGACGTCACCAGAGCCAAGCTAACACTAGGAGAGGTGCTACCCCCCAGTATCAACCAGGTCAAAAAGTCTGGCTTTCCACCAGAGACATCCGTCTTCGCCTACCCAGCAAGAAATTGAGTCCCCGATATATAGGTCCCTTCTCCATTGAAAGACAGATCAACGAGGTTACCTACCGGCTTCGCCTTCCCCCGAGTTACCGCATTGCACCATCATTCCATGTCTCTCTTCTAAAGCCTTTCACTGATCCTCTGACTTCCTCTTCCCCAGGGTCTGATGTTACTGACTTATCTCCTCCTCCCGAAGTCGCTGAGGAGGATTCCATCTACCGCGTCCGAGACATCCTGGACTCCCGTCGACGGGGCCGCCTCCTGGAATATCTCGTGGACTGGGAGGGATACGGACCCGAAGAGCGCACCTGGGTCGCAAGGGACGACATCCTGGACCCATCCCTCCTTACCCAGTTCCACGAGTCTCATCCCAACCGCCCAGCCCCTAGAGGTCGAGGCCGACCCCGTCGACAAACCACTAGGGCGTCAGGAGCCGCCCATGGAGGGGGGGGGGGGGGGGGACTGTCACAGAGTCATCTGTAACACCTGCCACACCATCAGCCCCTGATCACCCAACTCCGCCCGTTCACTCATTATCTCATGAATACTAATTCACCACACCTGCGCCCACTCATCACCTCTAGCACTTAAATACCCTCATGTTCCTTCATTCATTGTCTGGGCTCGTCAGAGAATTGTAAGACTCCTGTTCATCGCTGAATGCTATCTTCATCTAGCCTCTTCTTATGAAGTATTTCTATTCTCTCTCGTCTGTGCAAGTTCCATCGAGAAGCATCTCAACAATCAGCTGGAAGTCAACCGCAACTCACTCAGGCTTGTGTGCTTTGATCATCTGTTTATTAAATAAACCTTCTTACCTTCAATCCCGTTGTGTCTCTCCTCTGTACGTGACAATATATATATATATACAGGTCCTTCTCAAAAAATTTGCATATTGTGATAAAGTTAATTATTTTCCATAATGTAATAATAAAAATTAAACTTTCATATATTTTAGATTCATTGCACACCAACTGAAATATTTCAGGTCTTTTATTGTTTTAATACTGATGATTTTGGCATACAGCTCATGAAAACCCAAAATTCCTGTCTAAAAAAATTAGCATATTTCATCCGACCAATAAAAGAAGTGTTTTTAATACAAAAAAAAAAAGTCAACCTTCAAATAATTATGTTCAGTTATGCACTCAATAGTCAATACTTGGTCGGGAATCCTTTTGCAGAAATGACTGCTTCAATGCGGCGTGGCATGGAGGCAATCAGCCTGTGGCACTGCTGAGGTGTTATGGAGGCCCAGGATGCTTCGATAGCGGCCTTAAGCTCATCCAGAGTGTTGGGTCTTGCGTCTCTCAACTTTCTCTTCACAATATCCCACAGATTCTCTATGGAGTTTAGATCAGGAGAGTTGGCAGGCCAATTGAGCACAGTAATACCATGGTCAGTAAACCATTTACCAGTGGTTTTGGCACTGTGAGCAGGTGCCAGGTCGTGCTGAAAAATTAAATCTTCATCTCCATAAAGCTTTTCAGCAGATGGAAGCATGAAGTGCTCCAAAATCTCCTGATAGCTAGCTGCATTGACCCTGCCCTTGATAAAACACAGTGCACCAACACCAGCAGCTGACATGGCACCCCAGACCATCACTAAAAGAGGGTACTTGACACTGGACTTCAGGCATTTTGGCATTTCCTTCTCCCCAGTCTTCCTCAAGACTCTGGCACCTTGATTTCCGAATGACATGCAAAACTGAGCAACAGTCCAGTGCTGCTTCTCTGTAGCCCAGGCGCTTCTGCCGCTGTTTCTGGTTCAAAAGTGGCTTGACCTGGGGAATGCGGCACCTGTAGCCCATTTCCTGCACACGCCTGTGCACGGTGGCTCTGGATGTTTCTACTCCAGACTCAGTCCACTGCTTCCGCAGGTCCCCCAAGGTCTGGAATCGGTCCTTCTCCACAATCTTCCTCAGGGTCTGGTCACCTCTTCTCGTTGTGCAGCGTTTTTTGCCACACTTTTTCCTTCCCACAGACTTCCCACTGAGGTGCCTTGATACAGCACTCTGGGAACAGCCTATTTGTTCAGAAATTTCTTTCTGTCTTACCCTCTTGCTTGAGGGTGTCAATGATGGCCTTCTGGACAGCAGTCAGGTCTGCAGTCTTACCCATGATTGCGGTTTTGAGTAATGAAACAGGCTGGGAGTTTTTAAAAGCCTCAGGAATCTTTTGCAGGTGTTTAGAATTAATTAGTTGATTCAGATGATTAGGTTAATAGCTTGTTTAGAGACCCTTTTCATGATATGCTAATTTTTTGAGACAGGAATTTTGGGTTTTCATGAGCTGTATGCCAAAATCATCAGTATTACAACAATAAAAGACCTGAAATATTTCAGTTGGTGTGCAATGAATCTAAAATATATGAAAGTTTAATTTTTATCATTACATTATGGAAAATAATGAACTTTATCACAATATGCTAATTTTTTGAGAAGGACCTGTATTAGGTGAGACTGAAGACTGGAGTATTGGATGCTGAAAATGTTGCTATGCCAACACATATATCTATTACATTTTAAACATTAAAAAAGAAAACTGTAATAATATTACTAAATATAACTGTTTTCACTGTATTCTTGATCATAATAGACTTCTTTCAAAAATATGAAAAAAAAAAAAGCCTCAATCAAGGTAAAGACGATTGCGGTGACATACAGGAGTCGTACAGTGAACATGTGTGAGTCCGTTATATTGATGCGCAAACAAACCATGTATGTGCGTTCTCGACGCACTGATCACACACATTTATGACTTTATTTGACAGAAGGAAAGACAGGAGGTGATAGTAGACAAGAGACGGGAACCTGATCAGGAAAGGGCCTCAAGCCAGAACTCAGGAAGTGCTTTGATGCAATAGTCAAGAGCACTGCCTACTAGCCTAAGGCTCTGACATGTTCTTAGAATGTGAATTGTTATTAAAGTTCTCCATACAGATCTAGCTAGAGTTCAAGTTGGTCAAGTGAATTTTCTGCACTGACCAAAAAAAAAAAGTGCATAGTGAGCTGTGCATTGATAAATAACTGATAACGGAGCTTGTGATAATTTTTTCTTGTGAAATTTAGTCGACAGCACCTTTATACGATTCTTGTCCACTCACCAGTATCAAGTTTGGTTCCTCTGGTGCAGGCTACGATGGCACCCATGCTCGGTTGAGAGGTCATGCCAGCCATTGAGTCAACTGCTACATCCACTATATCTGCGCCTGCTTGTGCACAGGCTAACATTGCCGCGACTCCTGCACCTGCCGTATCGTGAGTATGAACGTGGATGGGAATGTCTGGGAAACGGTCCCGCAATGCTCCAATCAATAAACGGCTGGCTTCAGGCTTCAGCAGGCCAGCCATGTCCTGAGAAGAAAAGAGAGAAGAGGTGCTTTTAACAACTTAACCCTTTCACACGTAAGTTTAAAATATTCTAACTGACCCCCCAGCGTGAGTTTTTCAAGGCGACCGTTATTTAGAACCTGTCACTTTAATGTTTCCATGGTGACGCGTCATTTCTTGTCACGTGACACAGCGCAATCACAACACAGAGCTGAATGAGTGATGATCTGCTTTTATGTCTTTTTTCCTTTTCTATTCAAAATATTCACAAATGTATTAGCTATAGCATGAAACACTGATATTCCGATTGTCAAATATGTGCAAGTGGATGTGTTTTGTTGTTTAAACATATTTATAACGATCGCGTTAGTTGAGCTGTATGCACGATGGGCGGCGCCATGTTAGTTTGTTTCACAGTTCAGAGAATCGGACCTGTTGTTTCTCACGAAATACATGAAAGTAAGTGGCCGGTGAACTAGGAGAAGAATAGGGTAAAATGTAAAGCTACTTACACAATGTGTATCTGATATGAATAAAACGTTTTGTCTTATTACAATGGAAATGATTATTGTTGCCGTTTCCATAGACATCAGTGTCTATTTTACTAATTCAAAATCACTGTTTTGCTAGTACTTATGTGTATTTAAATGTCTGAAACCTAAAATAAACATTATGTGGTTTAAAATACTCAATAGTTGTGATATATGACAGCACTGAGTGCGTCTGTCTCTGGCTCAGCGCCAGCCAACGCGCGAAAGCACGTTTGAATTTAGCAGTTGATCACGTGATGCACTGACCGTTCTAATCACACCGGTGTGATCGTACGCTCCAGGGACCAGGCAAGACTGATCACACCGGTGTGATCGTACGCGTCAAAGGGTTAAGTGAACCCCAAAGAAAAGAAAATGAGATTATAATAACCACTGTATCATTACAGCAGATCAACAAAGCAATAGAGAGAAGTAACAGAAATAACAGAGCTAGAATGAATATTACTGTCATTGTCTTTAGACATTACATCCTTGATTAACTGCCAAAAAATACCATGCTATTTTCTAAGTTCTGACACATAAAACAGTGGTTATATTGGCAAATCCTTCACCTCTGCTTTTGTGAGTGTTGAACATGATTGTCAGGACAATACTGTGGTTTCCATGTACACGTGATCTACCTTAATAGCCAGTATGTGTGTTCCAGCCTTAACTAGCTCATTGGCTAGCTTCAGATAGTACTCCAATGAGTATTTCTGTCTCATGGGGTCAGACACGTCTCCCGTGTAAGAAATGGCTGCCTCCACCACACCTCCCGCCGCCCCTGCAGCTTCCATCCCCAAAAGCATGTTGGGAATATAATTCAGGGAGTCAAAAACACGGAAGATATCCATTCCGTTCTCTTTGGCTACCTCACAGAATCTAGAGAAATGGAGAGAGAGACCATCAATGGAAATAAGGTTTTGAGCTCTGCACCACAGCCAACTCCTTCAAAACCGCCATTTATGGTTTATGAGAGTAAAAAGAGACATTTGTGTGAATGCACATTCAAGTCAAGCCACTGAAATCAGACATTTTGCGGCCTGCCAGAGTACTTTCCAACAGGTACAATCAGTATGTTGTTTTTATTATGGAATGAGGACATTTTAAGATGAAAACCATTGCTATGATACTATAGGGCTGTCAACGAATATTCTAAATTCAAATATATATTCGAATAGTTTTAAAAATCTGAAATTCGAAGGTGAAAATTAATATTCGAATGTGGAAAAACACGTTAATAATATTTGCTGTCTGCAGCGAGTGGGCGCGCTGCCTGAGGGAACATTACAATAGGCTTACTGTACTGACTAAATAGATATTGCATGAATAAGGTAGGTTAGATACAGCAGTTTCATGCACTGCAGGCTTCCACTGGTTTGATTATTTACCGTTTCATGTAAAGGAAAAATTCCATGTTTACCACAGCACAGCTCGCTCGGAGCGTTCAATGTCGGTTTAATATACTGTAAAACTTCAATTAATGTTAATAATATTTGTTTCAACGACTGAATAAAGCCTGCTATATTTGGGACAAGAGTCGCAACCTTAAATTGCTTGCACAAAACTCTTGATCAGCACTCTACATTTGTTTATTGTTGTTGTTTATTTAAACCGTTATGCGCAGAGAGCGTGAGGGCGAGGGGGAGAGAGAGAGAAAGAGAGCCTGCGAGTGTGAGTGAGCGAGAGTGAGGTCTGCGGTCTTGGCCATTAGTTGATTTACTTGTTTTGTGTGTAGGTAATACGTTGTCTAATATGTTTAAACTGAAATAAACTACATATACAAGTAGTTATGCCTCTTTGTATTAATTTGTCCTGTTATTGACGTAATGCGTCATTGACAAAATGCGCAACCAAATGTTCGAATAGTTAGAATATATGTGTTTTTTTTAGAGGGAATATTCAAGCAATTTTGCCAGCCCTAGTATATACTAGGGGTTGCACAGACTAATCGACTTTAATGCTCTGCCATGACGCTTTAAGCTTGACGTCGAACAAGTCAGGATAAGAAATCTTTGAAGTCCACTTTTACGCTCCGTTTTCAACAGTTAAAATGACAAATAAATGCATACTCTGGGAGCGCTCCACAAGATATGTTTGATTATACAATCTGGATGCTCAAAATTGATCGGGTAAATGCATGTTTTAAACAACTTACTGAACACGTATGTTAATCGCTGTTCCAAACTATTGCGCTGCTGAATTGTAACACACATAGCTGGCGCATCACGTGCAAATCGCGCGCGCACAGAAACATTCAGTAGCGCAGAAATGTATTGTCAACACTGTTCTGTGATTTATCAATAAAATAGCTTAGAAACTGAAAAGTTCTAGCATATATTTCTTAGTAACTAAAACCCACAGCTTCACTATTAGTAGAGAGACGCTGCCAGAAAGAATTAATTCACAAGCAATCGCTCTCTCACTAATGCGTTCAAATAAATGTAATTTTTACGTGCTATTAATCTGTTTCTGATTTAGCACGAGCAGAAAACTGTGAGAAATATAACTACCCAAAGACAAAAGAACGTAGGCGTTATGTGTTAGGAGTTAGGCTTATTTGTTCATTAATGATGTCATCAGCGACTAGTCGACGTTGACTCGAATTTGATCACATAAATGTCGACTGAAGAAAGATCTGAAGTCGTTCAACCCCTAACATATACACACACGAACTTTGATGTTATGTGAATAATTGTGATTAATTGATTTGACAGCACTAATTAATGAGTTCACCAAAGCTGTTGGGAGATTACTGTTACATTTGTAAGCATTATTTTCCTAAAATGAAAGCATAAGAAAATCCTAACTACTGTGTCCACTGCAAAAATAGCATTAAGTATTAGCTTAATACTCATATAATATATATATATATATTAGATAATTTATATATACAAAAATAATGTAAATAGCACTACAACTGTGTTTACTGCTGCAACGGTATCAACTCTAACTCTCAATACATGCACTACCCCCTCTATTGTGTGTGTATGTGTGTGTTGTTCATGTTGTGCCTACAAATGTAATCACCTAAATTGTGTAGACAAGCCAACAGCCCTCACGAGGAAAACAGCTTAATAAACATGCTAAATAAAATCTTAATAAACATTTAAATATGCAGAAAGGTTTCTGTGAGGGAAGGATTAGGAGTAGAGGATAGAAAATAACATTAGCCAATGTGTGTGTGATCTCACTTGAACACAGCATTATCAGGGTAGTTTGTGTATCCCACAGCATTGGCTCCACGTAGTAGCATCTGAAATGGGACGTTGGGAATCAGAGCTCTGAGCTCCTGGAGTCTCTTCCACGGACACTCCCACAGAAAACGCATTGCTACATCAAATGTAGCTCCTAGAGACAGAAAGAGAGATTTTAAGGTCATGCCAAAGACTGAAGTGATATCAAAGGCTGAATTGATCCTTAGTAATCCAACACACACACACACACACACAGAGCCGAGGAACATCTAAAAATCACTGAAATACACAGACAATAAGCTTAGTGAACCAGAACATGAACATTCAATAACTCCTATTTGAAATAGAGTAATTATTTAATTAATTCGCCACTTCTGTGTAAATGTATGTGCATTAAGAAATGACTTTGTGAATGTGTCACGTGCCTCCCCAGTTCTCCAAGCTGAAGAGGTTATTGAAGTTGTGGCTCACAAAGGGAGCAATCTTCTTGAGGTCATGTGTCCTGACGCGAGTTGCCAGCAGAGACTGGTGGGCGTCTCTGAAAGTGGTGTCCATCAGTAGAAGACCCTGATGCTGCCGAATTGCCCGTGCAAAACCCTCAGGACCCTCTTTCAACAGGACTTCACGGAAGCCCGTGGGTGGCTCACCTAGACAGAAAAAAACAAAGTGATTTGTGTACACAGCACACATATAAAGCCAGCTGACCAACTCAAAACACCTTGATATAAGTAGGGGACTATTAGGGGTTTACAATATTTGCAAA